CAGTTCTCTTTAAGTATCTTTCTAGCTCCCTTTACTCCTTCAGTATCATACTTGGTTACCATTGTTTTTTGTGTTCTATATAATCCTCTTCTTTTGGTTCCTTTGCCATGTACTCAAAATAATCTACTTAAGTATCTTTTCATACAAAATATGTGGGTGGTAAACTTTCAGAGTGCTTATATGTCCAAAAATTTAATTCTTCCCACTAATATTTAATTGATAGTTTAGCTAAATAGAGATTTTTTTTTCTCCTAAGAATTTTTAAGGCATTGCTTTAAGGTCTATTACCATCCGATGTTGTTAACAAGGATTTGATAGCAGTCTGCTTTTTATCCTTATAGATAACCTTACCCCCCTTCACCAAATTAGAATTTTCTGTTAACTATTTTCTATTAGGATTTTTTCTTAGCTCTTGAAGCTCTGAAACTTTACAAGAATATGTCTAGATGTGAGTCATTATTCCCTTGCTCTCTGATATTTGGTAGTGCCTTCAAACCAAAGATTTATGTCTTTTTCAGCTCAGGGAAATTTTCATCATAGTCCCTTACTTTTATGATTGCTTTACTTCTCTACATTATATTTATTTTCTTCTTCTGGAATTTCTGTTAAAAATGTGGTAGAGCTTGTGTTCTATCCTCCGTGTATTTTCACTTTTATTTCACATTTTTCTCTTCTTTTTGTTCTTTTGTTCTACATTCTGGGAGATTTCCTTAACCTTATCTTCCAGTTCACCAATGTAATGTTCAGCTATGTCTATTTAATTAGTCAACTACTGAGTTCTTTATTTTTGAAATTATATTTTTAATTTCCAAGAATTTTCTTCTCCTATTTTTCCTTTAGTATGATATCTTGTCTTATTTAACAAACATAATAGCTTATCAGATCTACTTGAGGAAAATATAATAGTTTCTCAGATCTTTTGGGGGTATTAATTACCATTTATATAAAGGTCCTTTCTGGTTTTCTCCAATAACTGTTTCCTCCAGGATTAGTTGTACTCTTTATGTATTTGGGATTTTCTCCTTTATTTTATTGATTTCTTTAAGTAGCTAAAGTTTTGTTTTTTTTTCATTGTCCATGCATCATTATGAATCAGGAACATGGTTGCCTCTGTAGTTGTATATGTTTGACCAATAGGTCTCACCAATGAGAAGGAAGACTGATTTCCAGTACCATGTAATGACTGTAGGTTTTAACTGACAAACTAGGAGCAGGTAGGCTGATTGGGGACTCCAGAACTGGTAAAAGCCAGGAAGCCTTTCCTGTGAAGGTAGAACTGTCCTTTTTGTTTCTCCTGTCCAGGTCTTGCTTCATGGTACAGAGAGACTCAGTCTCTGCTCTGCCTCTCTTAGACCCAGTGTTTCCAAAGAACCATCCCTGAGCAGATCAATTACTTTCTTCAGAGAGCAATCTCAGGTTCTGACCAAAGAACAAGTTTCTTCTAACAAATGCTTAATTTACACAGAGAAAAGAGAAAGGGACCCACTAGGCTCAGAATGCTGTTCTTTTTTTCTTTTTTAAGATTTTATTTATTTATTTGAGAGAGAAACAGACAGAGATAGCAACAGAGATCATGAGTGGGGAGAAGAGGGAGAAGCACACTCCCTGGGAGCCCAACGCAGGGCTTGATCCCAGGACCCCGGGATCATGACCTGAGCCGAAGGCAGACACTTAACCAACTGAGCCACCCAGGTGCCCCAAGAATGCTGTTCTTTAGTAAATTGTCCAGGTCCTGCTATTTGTAATTGTTCAAAAATGCCCCAGTGATCTCTGGATTTTTTTTTAACCTAACTACTGATAAATTTTTCTACCTATGTATATACATATGTGTGTGTGTGGGTATATATACATGTGTGTGTGTGTGTGTGTGTGTGTGTGTATAGTCTATAACTATTAACTTTTTGTACCTTTTTATTGTAGACTAAAACACACAGGGGTTCCTGGCTCGCTTAGTCAGAAGAGCATGTAACTTTTGATCTTGGGGTTGTGAGTTTGAGACCCATATTAGGTGTAGAGATTACTAAAAAAAAAAAAAAAACCACACAAACACGAAAACTGCATGGAACAAGCATATAACTAACTGAATTATTATAAGGTGAACACCCTTATAACCACCATCTAGATCAAGAAATCATACTTTTCCATCCACCCAGATGTCCCTCCATGTTCCCCATCACAATCATAGCCTCCTTCCTCTACTGTGATATTAGATATTTATATTTCTTCATGTGTTCATTGCCCAAATATACACCTCTAGACACTATAGTTTAGTCTTCTCCATATTTTTTTTACCTTGATATGTCACTGAAGTCTCTATAGTTTTCCCTTCCATCTCTCTCCTTTTCTTACAATTTATTTGTTGAAGAACCCAGGCTATTTGACTCATAAAGTTTCTTCTTAGTCTGGATTTTGCTGATTGCAGACTCATGGTGCAGTTCAGTGGATTCCTCTATTCTTTGTATTTTCCACAACTTGGCAGCTAGATCCAGAGGCTGACATCTGGAGGTTCAAACCCTTTAACAAGAAATTGTAGTCTTCCATCAGTAGACACATAATGGCTGTTTTGTTTTTAAATATTAAAAGCCATTAATGCTCAGTTACTAAATCCCTTAATCAATTGAGCATTAAAAAATTGTGGTATTTTCTATTTTGTTTTCATATTTTAACTAGAACAATTTTAAAAAGAGATGTTCCCCCTCACCTATTATTTGACTACCTAGTGAGCCAGTTCATAGGAAAGAGGCAAAATAAATACTTGATACTTTCTGTTATTTACCTTGTTGTCAGGCTAATGAATTAGTGCCATTACCCTCAGAAAATGACCAATTGACTGTTTTTAAATATATATATAATTATTAATTCACAGATTTAAATATATTTCATAGGTTTCAATTTATTGCAATTCTTGCAATTACTGAAGCTCAATATATACCATCTTTGCTTGTGGGACAAAATCTCTTCAAGTTGGTCTAAATGTTTTGACATGATCCAAGTAGTCTTTGATAGCTTCTGCACTATCTAGTATGTTATTTCAGCTCATCTTTCATATTTTCTGCCACAGACCTAGAATCAATCATTTTTCTAAGAAACTCTGGGTTATTAAAAACATGTAAAATGGTATATCAAGATCACAATGATAAAAAAATTAAAATTAAAAAAAGATCACAATGTGGGCACTAAGAGATTCTTTTTTTAATGTTATGTTAATCACCATACATTACATCATTAGTTTTTCATGTAGTGTTCCATGATTAATTATTTGCGTATAACACCCAGTGCTCCATGCAGAACATGCCCTCTTTAATACCCATCACCAGGCTAACCTATCCCCCTCCCCTCTAGAACCCTCAGTATGTTTTTCAGAGTCCATCATCTCTCATGGTTTATCACCCCCTCCAATTTCCCCCCTTCATTCTTCTCCTCCTGCTATCTTCTTCTTCTTTTTTTTTTAACATATAATGTATTATTTGTTTCAGAGGTACAGATCTATGATTCAACAGTCTTGCACAATTCACAGCGCTCACCATAGCACATACCCTCCCTGATGTCTATCACCCAGCTGCCCCATCCCTCCCACCCCCCACCACTCTAGCAACCCTCAGTTTGTTTCCTCAGATTAAGAATTCCTCATATCAGTGAGGTCATATGATACATGTCTTTCTCTGATTGACTTATTTCACTCTGCATAAACCCTCCAGTTCCATCCACGTCGTTGCAAATGGCAAGATCTCATTCTTTTTGATGGCTGCATAAGATTCCATTGTGTGTGTGTGTGTGTATATATATATATATATATATACACACACACCACATCTTCTTTATCCATTCATCTGTCGATGGACGTCTTGGCTCTTTCCACAGTTTGGCTATTGTGGACATGGCTGCTATAAACATCGGGGTGCACGTACCCCTTCAGATCCCTACATTTGTATCTTTGGGGTAAATATCCAGTAGTGCAATTGCTGGATTGTATGGTAGCTCTATTTTCAACTTTTTGAGGAACCTCCATACTGTTTTCCAGAGTGGCTGTACCAGCTTGCATTCCCACCAACACTGTAGGAGAGTTCCCCTTTCTCCGCATCCCCGCCAACATCTGTCATTTCCTGACTTGTTAATTTTAGCCATTCTGACTGGCATGAGGTGATATTTCACTGAGGTTTTGATTTGGATTTCCCTCATGCCGAGCGATGTTGAGCACTTTTTCATGTGTCTGTTGGCCATTTGGATGTCTTCTTTGGAAAAATGTCTGTTCATGTCTTCAGCCCATTTCTTGATTGGATCATTTATTCTTTGGGTGTTGAGTTTAAGAAGTTCTTTATAGATTTTGAATACTAGCCCTTTATCTGATATGTCATTTGCAAATATCTTCTCCCATTCTGTCAGTTGTCTTTTGGTTTTGTTCACTGTTTCTTTTGCTGTGCTAAAGCTTTTTATCTTGATGAGATCCCAATGGTTCATTTTTACCCTTGCTTCCCTTGCCTTTGGCGATGTTTCTAGGAAGAAGTTGCTGCGGCTGATGTTGAAGAGGTTGCTACCTGTGTTCTTCTTTAGGATTTAGATGGACTCCTGTCTCACATTTAGATCTTTCAACCATTAGGTCTTTATATTTTTGTGTGTGGTGTAAGGAAATGGTCCAGTTTTACTCTTCTGCATGTGGCTGTTCAATTTTCCCAACACCATTTGTTGAAGAGACTGTCTTTTTTCCATTGGACATTCTTTCCTGCTTTGTCGAAGATGAGTTAACCATAGAGTTGAGGGTCCATTTCTGGGCTCTCGATTCTGTTCCATTGATCTATGTGTCTGTTTTTGTGCCAGTACCATACTGTCTTGATGATGACAGCTTTGTAATAGAGCTTGAAGTCCAGAATTGTGATGCTGCCAGCTTTGCTTTTCTTTTTCAACATTCCTCTGGCTATTCAGGGTCTTTTCTGGTTCCATACAAATTTTAGGATTATTTGTTCCATTTCTTTGAAAAAAGTGGATGGTATTTTTTTTTTTTGTCTGTTAAGGAATTGCTTTATTAATACAAAACATACACACAAACTACTGAGTGCTAAGAAATTTAAATATCTAAGTCATAGCAAATAGGTGGCAATTCAACATCCAGGGTCGACAGAATGCTTGGAGACTGCAACAGATTCGACTCCCATGGTGGAGAGGGCATCTTCAGAGGTGAAGGGGGGCCCAGGTGCAACAGCTTCTCGAGTTCCGTCTCCTCATCAAGGATCATGAGAGGCACTCCACTCAAGGGGAGGCGTGCAATCTGGTGCTCTTCAGGCAGGTCAAAACTCTCAAAATCTAAAGGATTGAAGGGAAATAATTTTTCTATTTCTGGATAGGTGTCATCCGAGGCAGGAACAGAGCTTTTTGCTTTGATAGTCTTCTCAGTCACCTTTTTGGCAGAGAAGGTCGGCTGCTTCTGTTTGAGAGATCCATTAGTCTTTACTGAGTTTTCTGTGGCTCTGTTGACAGTTCCCAAAGACTTTCTGGCAACTTTAGGTAAGACTGCTTGAGCATCAAACATTTTGCCTACATGTGGTGTTGAAACCTGAGATCTCCCATCTAAAGCTTTGACTAGAGGCCTAGACCCCGGCTTTAGCCCGTCCTTGGGAGCCACACGGGTGCCTGGTTCTCCATTTCCCTTATCAACAAAAATCAGGGTAGCCATTCTGGACTAGCGTCCACCCACGTTGGAATCAACAGCCAAATTCCAGTGGATGGTATTTTGATAGAGATTGCATTGAATGTGTAGATTCCTCTAGGTGGCATTGACATCTTCACAATATTTGTTCTTCCAGTGCATGACCATGGAACGTTTTTCCATTTCTTTGTGTCTTCCTCAATTTCTTTCATGAGTATTTTATAGTTTTCTGAGTACAGATTCTTTGCTTCTTTGGTTAGATTTATTCCTAGGTATCTTATGGTTTTGGGTGCAATTATAAATGGAATCGACTCCTTAATTTCTCTTTCTTCTGTCTTGTTGTTGGTGTATAGGAATGCCACTGATTTCTGTGCACTGATTTTATATCCTGCCAATTTACTGAATTCCTGTATGAGTTCTAGCAGTTTTGGGGTGGAGTCTTTTGGATTTTCCACATAAAGTATCATGTCATCTGCAAAGAGTGAGAGTTTGACTTCTTCTTTGCTGATTTGGATGCCTTTTGTTTCTTTTTGTTGTCTGATTGCTGTGGCTAGGACTTCTAATACTATGTTGAATAGCAGTGGTGGTAGTGGACATCCCTGCCATGTTCCTGACCTTAGGGGAAAGCTCTCAGTTCTTCCCCATTGAGAATGATATTCGCTGTGGGTTTTTCATAGATGGCTTTTATGATATTGAGGTATGTCCCCTCTATCCCTATACTCTGAAGAGTTTTGATCAAGAAAGGATGCTGTACTTTGTCAAATGCTTTTTCTGCATCTATTGAGAGGATCATATGGTTCTTGTTCTTTCTTTTATTAATGTCTTGTATCACATCGATTGATTTGCAGATGTTGAACCAACCTTGCAGCCCAGGGATAAATCCCACTTGGTCGTGGTGAATAATCCTTTTAATGTACTGTTGGATCCTATTGGCTAGTATTTTGGTGAGAATTTTTGCATCCATGTTCATCAAGGATATTGGTCTATAATTCTCCTTTCTGATGGGGTCTTTATCTGGTTTTGGGATCAAGGTAATGGTGGCCTCATAAAACGAGTTTGCAAGTTTTCCTTCCATTTCTATTTTTTTGGACCAGTTTCAGAAGAATAGGTATTAATTCTTCTTTAAATGTTTGGTAGAATTCCCCTGGGAAGCCATCTGGCCCTGGGCTTTTGTTTGTTGGGAGATTTTTGACGACTGCTTCAATTTCCTTAGTGGTTATAGGTCTGTTCAGGTTTTCTATTTCTTCCTGGTTCAGTTTTGGTAGTTGATACATCTCTAGGAATGCATCCATATCTTCCAGATTATCTAATTTGTTGGCATATAGTTGCTCATAATATGTTCTTATAATTGTTTGTATTTCTTTGGTGTTGATTGTGATCTCTCCTCTTTCATTCATGATTTTGTTGATTTGGGTCCTTTCTCTTTTCTTTTTGATAAGTCTGGCCAGGGGTTTATCAATCATATTTATTCTTTCAAAGAACCAGCTCCTAGTTTCGTTGGTCTGTTCTAATGTTCTTTTGGTTTCTATTTCATTGATTTCTGCTCTGATCTTTATGATTTCTCTTCTCCTGCTGGGTTTAGGCTTTATTTGCTGTTCTTGCTCTAGCTCCTTTAGGTGTAGGGTTAGGTTGTGTATTTGAGACCTTTCTTGTTTCTTGAGAAAGGCTTGTATTGCTATATACTTTCCTCTTAGGGCTGCCTTTGCTGCATCCCAAAGATTTTGAACAGTTGTGTTTTCATTTTCATTGGTTTCCATGAATTTTTAAAATTCTTCTTTAATTTCCTGGTTGACCCATTCATTCTTTAGTAGGATGTTCTTTAGCCTCCATGTATTTGAGTTATTTCCGACTTTCCTCTTGTGATTGAGTTCTAGTTTCAAAGCATTGTGGTCTGAAAATATGCAGGGAATGATCCCAGTCTTTTGGTACCAGTTGAGACCTGATTTGTGACCTAGGATGTGATCAATTCTGGAGAATGTTCCATGGGCACTAGAGAAGAATGTGTATTTTATTGCTTTGGGATGGAATGTTCTGAATATGTCTGTGAAGTCCATTTGGTCCAGTGTGTCATTTAAAGTCTTTATTTCCTTGTTGATCTTTTGCTTAGATGATCTGTCCATTTCAGTGAGGGGGGTGTGAAAGTCCCCCACTATTATTGTATTTTTTCAATGTGTTTCTTTGCTTTTGTTATTAATTGCCTTATATAATTGGTTGCTCCCATGTTTGGGGCATAGATATTTACAATTGTTAGATCTTTTTGTTGGATAGACCCTTTAAGTATGATATAGTGTCGGCACTAAGGGATTTTTAATGCTACTGAATTGGTCATTATTTCTAGGCCTTTTCAGTGGATTAAACTAGGAAATATAAATATGTATATGTTTTGTGTATGCATATATATGTGTGTGAAAATAAGCATATATTTTTATCTTTATATGTATGTATATTTAACTACATATATATATATATTATTTTATTATACATATATAGCCTATATTTACTTTATAGAGAGATGAAATACCTCATAAATTCATGTTGAGATCTCCAATTCCAATTCAGGACTATCAGGTTAATTTATATATTCTTTATTAAACCTACATCTTTTTTTCTTACAGACCATAATTTCTGGTTCTCAAGGACATATGGGATGATAGAATTAGAATAGCCATAATTACTCATTTACTTTATCCCATATTTCATATATGAGTTTCAAAATTATCCTAATACTAACATCATTATTTCTTTTTTAATTTAAATTAAATTAATTAACATATAATATATTATTGGTTTTAGAAGTACAGGTCTGTGATTCATCAGTCTTATATAATACACAGTGCTCATTACATCACATGCCCTCCTTAATGTCCATTACCCAGTTACCCCATCCCTACACCTCCCACCCCTCCAGCAACCTTCAGTTTGTTTCCTATGATTGAGAGTCTCTTCTGGTTTGTCTCCCTCTCTGGTTTTGTCTTGTTTTATTTTTTCCTCTCTTCTCCTACGATCCTCTGTTTTGTTTCTTAAATTCCACATGTCAGTGAGATCATATAGTAATTGTCTTTCTCTGATTGACTTACTTCTCTTAGCATAATACCCTCTACTTCCATCCATGTCATCACAATGGCAAGATTTCAGTTTTTGATGGCTGACTAGTATTCCATTGTGTATGTATATATATATATATATATATACACCACATCTTGATCCATTTATCTGTTGATGGACATCTAGACTCTTTCCATAGTTTGGCTATTGTGGCAATTGCTGCTATAAACATCAGGGTGCAGTTGCCCATTCAGGTCACTACATTTGTATCCTTTGGATAAATACCTAGTAGTGCAGTTACTGGGTCATAGAGTAGCTCCATTTTCAACTTCTTGAGGAACCTCCATACTGTTTTCCAGAGTGGCTGTACTAGCTTACATTCCCACCAACAGTGTAAGAGAGTTCCCCTTTCTCCACATCTTTGCCAACATCTGTTGTTTTCTGAGCTGTTAATTTTAGCCATTCTGACTGGTGTGAGGTGGTATCTCATTGTAGATTTGATTTGGATTTCCATGATGCCAAGTGATGTTGAGCATTTTCTCATGTGTCTATTAGCCATTTGTATGTCTTCTTTGGAGAAATGTCTGTTCATGTCTTCTGCCCATTTCTTGACTGGAATTTTTGTTTTTTGGGTGTTGAGTTTGATAAGTTCTTTATAGATTTTGGATACTAGCCCTTTATCTGGTATGTCATTTGCAAATATCTTCTCCCATTCTGCAGGTTGCCTTTTAGTTTTGTTGGTTGTTTCCTTTGCTGTGCAAAAGCTTTTTATCCTGATGAAGTCCCAATAGCTCATTTTTGCTTTTGTTTCCCTTGCCTCTGGAGATGTGTCTAACAAGAGGTTGCTGCAGCCAAGGTCAAAGAGGCTGTTGCCTGTGTTCTCCTCTAGGATTTTGATGGATTCCTGTCTCACATTTAGGTCTTTCATCCATTTTGAGATTATTTTTGTGCATGATGTAAGAAAATAGTCCAGTTTCATTCATCTGCGTGTGGCTGTCTCATTTTTCCAACACCATTCATTGAAGAGACTGTCTTTTCCATTGGATATTCTTTCCTGCTTTGTTGAAGATTATTTGACCATAGAGTTGAGGGTCCATTTCTGGGTTCTCTATTCTGTTCCATTGATCTATGTGTCTATTTTGGGATCAAGGTAATACTGGCCTCATAGAAAGAATTTGGAAGTTTTCCTTCCATTTCTATTTTTTTGAAATAGCTTCAGAAGAATAAGTATTAAATCTTCTTTAAATGTTTGGTAGAATTTTCCTGGGAGGCCATCTGTCCCTGGACTCTTGTTTGTTGGGAGATTTTTTATTATTGATTCAATTTCTTTGCTTATTATGGGTCTGTTCAGCTTTTCTATGTCTTCCTGTTTCAGTGTGGTAATTTATATGTTTCTAGGAATTTATCCATTTCTTCCAGATTGCCTAATTTGTTGGCATATAATTACTCAAAATATTCTCTTAAAATTGTTTGTACTTCTTCAGTGTTGGTTGTGATCTCTCCTCTTTCATTCATGATTTTATTTATTTGGGTACTTTCTCTTTTCTTTTTGATAAGTCTGGCCAGGGGTTTATCAATCTTATTAATTCTTTCAAAGAACCAGCTCCTAGTTTCCTTGATCCATTCTACTGTTTTGTTTTGATTTCTATATCATTGATTTCTCTCTAATCTTTATTATTTCTCCTCTCCTGCTGGATTTAGGCTTTATTTGTTGTTCTTTTTCCAGCTCCTTTAGGCTGTGTATTTGAGACTTTTCTTGTTTCTTGAGAAAGGCCTGTATTGCTATATACTTCCTTCTTAGGACTGCCTTTGCTGCATTCCAAAGGTTCTGAACTGTTGTGTTTTCATTTTTATTTGCTTCCATATGTTTTTCAAATTCTTTAATTTCCTGGTTGACTTTCCCTTGCTATTGCTTGTACCTGTGCCAAAATATTTGTAAGTAGCTGCTTAAGTAAGCCCTCTTTAAATTCTTATTCTGAGTATAACAGATGTTTCT